TAATAAAATTATTCGAAAGCTTCTCTAAATTTTGTATTACATAGTAAAAAATTAAACCATTAATTCACTTTAGTAGGAATATTTTAGTATTATTTAGTATCTAATTTAATAATAATATAGTCATAATTTTATAATAGTAAAATAATAACAATAATAAAAAAACAAAATTATAAAATGAAAATAGTCTTTCTAAATTTGAATAATAGTAAATATTGAACCAATAATTTATTATTGGCTCAATGAATATTTTAGTATTATTTATTTATTTAGTAATTAATTTAGTAACTAATTTTTTTACTAATATAAATTTGAGACTCAATTTTCACTAATTCAGACTTAGAACTGCAATTTAAAATTTTAAATAAGCAAAAAATTTACAAATTCTAAATTCATTGTGATGTGCAAGTGCATACAAAAGAGTTTTTAGATTTATCAGCAGAAATTATAAAACTCAATAAAAAAATTGTATAAAATAACAAATTATTTATATAAATAAATACTTTAAAATACTTTACACTCTTAAATAAATAAACAAAATAATAAATTTATATAAATTTTTTATTTAAAACAATTTTTTTTTATTATTTATTTGAATTGCAATAGTAACGGAGGCATTTTTATGTATTCTATATAAAAAAAAAGATAAAAATAGGATATTATTCACTTTAGAGCTTGAAGAAGAGTGAAAAAGAATTTTTGGTCTGAAAAGAACCGTTTTCAACTTTTACGTATCGAGGATTTGAAATTGCTATGGTTATTGGAGGGTCACGTAATGTTCATCATTAAATTTATAGGGAAAGCCCGTCATATTTCGTATCCTATATATATACAGAGAGAGAGAGAGAGAGCTCACAGTAAAATTTTTATACCAACATTTTTATCTCGCGTATAATCCCTACTATTGTATATATATATATATGTTACGTATAACAAAACTAAAAGCTCAACTCTTGATTTATGCAATCTTTCATTTTATCTTGACTTTTTTTATTTATTTTATTTTTTATATTTTAATTTTTTTTATTTAATTTAATAATAATAATATTAATAAAACTAATAATGAAACTACTACTACTGCTACTGTTATTAATTAATTACTAATTACTAGTATTAATTAATGGTATTAATGATAATGATTAGTATTATTATTAATTAAAAGCAAGGTAAAAGTAAAGGTCTCAAGGTGAAAAAAATTGCCTTTGTTTCAAAAACACAGTTGTTCTCAAAAGAGAAAAAAAAATGTAATTCAGTAAATTTGACAAAAATGTTTTTTCTACCCTTAAGGGAAATTTTTTATAAATAAATGATTTAGTGAAAAATTTATCGAATAAACATTTGTAATGGATAATTATTTTTTTGTTAAAATTGTTATTTAAAAAAAACTTCTTTGTTAGCGATTACATTCAAACACTGATCAAAGTTTGGAGTGTTCATTAATCTCAAAATTTTCAATCATTAAAAATTTATTATGTTACATAAACTATACAATTGTTTAAAAATTTCTTCTATATTGTTGTTCAATTTTATTATTAGCGTTTCTCTCTCAATTTTTTTCAAACAAGTTTATATAACATTCTCATTAGGAAAAATACAAAAGGAAAAATTGTTCTTAATTAAAATATTTTAATACTTTAATCTTCAATTTAATTTAAAACTGGGAATGATTTTTTTATTTTTGAATAAGCAATTATTATTTATTAACTTCATTTTTTGTTGCAAGAATCAATTTTTCCATTTTTCAATGCAATGTAAGTGTCTTTTTTCTTAACATAATTTTTCGTAGATTGTATGGAAATTCACTTTAAGAGGTCACGTAGAGAGTTTTGATATGGCCAAGCACGAGAAGCATGCAAACTGAATCGCTAATATTATAGGTTCAGTGTCCCCTGTACAAGAGATTTTTCTCAATTTTGTAATTTTTTTTTCAATTCTCCACCATCAGATTTGTACCTTATTTACTCTTTGATGTAATTTACTGCATAGTTTATTATTTTTTTTTTTATTAAAAAGAATAACTCTATAATTATTATAAAAATTGTAATAGTAATTATATAATAATATAACTGTAATATAATAATAGTAACAATATAACAATATAGTATAATAATAATAACAATAATTCTATAATTATTGTAAAAATTATTTGATTCAAATAACCGATTACTTGTCAATATTATTAAACAAATATTTCCTTAAGGGCATTTGAACCTTGATGACGTTACAGTTTGTGCAAAGCATGTGTGACGTCATCAAGGTTCAAATGCCCTTAAATCAAATAATATTTCTCTCAATAAAAATTTCACGAAAGAATTTAATTATTTTCTAAAATTTTAATAAATCCTTCTAAACAATTCAATTATTTTTTTAAATAATAAAATCTTTAAAAAAATTCTATGATTTTCAAAACAATTTTAATTGAATTCCTCGGATGAATTTAAATATTTTCAAATATTTCCATAAATTTCAATTATTTCCTAAAATTTTAATAAATTCTTCGAAACAATTCAACTATTTTTGTAAATACAAAAATTCTTTGCAGGAATTAAATTATTGTTAATCAAATTTAAATAAAATTTGCACGAAACAATTTAATTATTTTCAAAAATTTCCATAAAATGCAATTTCAACAAGAATTTAAAATTCTCTAAAAATAATTCAATTATTCTCAAAATATTTTTAAAAAATTCTACATAAAAATTAAATTACTTTCAATGCAATTTTTAAATTTATATTCGTCAGAAAAATTGAAAGAATTCAATTATTTTCAAACAATAATAAAATTCTTGTGATGAATTCAATTATTTTGAATATACTTAATTTTAATAAAATTCTTTAAAGAAATTTCATTATTTTCGAAACAACTTTAATTGAATTTCTCGAAAAAATTTCATTATTTTCAAATATTCCTATAAAATTCTTCATAACAATTTAATTATTTCTTAAAATTTTAATAAATTCTTCAAAACATTTCAATTATTTTTATAAATAGTAAAATTCTTCGCAATAATTCAATTATTTTTATAAATAGTAAAATCCTTTGCAGGAATTCAATTATTTTCAAAACAATTTTAATTGAATTCCTCGGATGAATTCAAATATTTTTTCATAAATTTCAATTCTTTCCTAAAATTTTAATAAATTCTTCGAAACAATTCAACTATTTTTATAAATAGTAAAATTATTCGCAAGAATTTAAATATTTTCAATTTACTTTTAATAAAATTCTTCTTCATAAAATTCAATTGCTTTCAAAATTTTCAATTAAAATTATTAAAGAAACTCCATTAGTATAAAAAAAAATTCAAAGAAATTCTTCAAAAGAATTTAATTAGGATTTTTAAAATTTTTAATAAAATTCTTTGTGAGAATTCAGTTATTTTCCTAAATAATAAAATTCTTTGAAGGAATTCTATTATCATCAAATTTTTTGAAAAAATTCTTTGCAACAATTCGATGATTTTAAATACATTGCTCCGAGTCGAAGACTCGGAGTGATCGATTTCTTCATGTTTTCTAATAATTAATGATGACCGAGAGATAAAATAATTATTCTATATTATAAGAATATTGTTACTGTAACTTCATTAAAATTTTCATCATTTTAATTAAATTATTATTTTCTAGAATTTTAAATTATTTTTTATGAAAATAATAATTAAATTCCTTAAAAAAAATTTATTATTTATAAAAACAATTGAATTCCTGTGAAATTTTTATTATTTATGAAAATAATTTAATATTTCTATACAATTTTATTAAAATTTTTTTAAATAATTGAATTATTTTTGGGAAATTTTATTAAAATAGTAGATATTGAAAATCATTGAAATTAGAAAAATGCATTTTATTTTTGAAAATAATTGAACTTTGGAGAAGAATTTTGTTATTTATAAAGATGATTGGGATTTTTACGAAATTTTTTTTCAAATTTTGAACATAGTTGAATTTTATTTACTTTTTTTAAATAATTGAATTTCTGCAATTATTTGTAATTTCTCCAAAATTGAATATATTATAATTATTATATAAAAAGCTTGACTATAAATAAATGAAGAATTTTAAAAAATTAGACAAACAAAGTTTGCAATTAAACAATGCAAAAATTTGCATAAAAGTTTAAAGTTTTAATGAAAATTTTTTCATTTTTAATAAAAAAAAAAAAAAAAAAAATGAATATGCAGCAGCTTATGATTTTGGATTAGGTTCTTCAATTACCTTTGTCTAGAGCATCACATAAACAACTCGTGACAGTGGGAAAGAGGAACTAAATACGCGTTTCTCGTATAACAGTAACTTTGTCCATTAATAAACTTACAAACTTTGAAATCGGATTGTCTCCGTAGTGCGGATCGTAGTAAAGAAAATGAGGAGAAAATTTGAAAAAAAACACAAAACTCTCATATAATATTGCTCCACGCAAAATGGCGTCTATTTAGAAAGAAAGGGACTAAATTTTAATTAATTTCTTAATTTTTACGCATTCAAAAGTTTTTTTTAAAAATAATTTGATATTAATTCATTCTAAAATGTGAATATAATTAATTTGAATATTAATTTAATATTTTATTCTTTTAGTAAAATAGTATTTGATGGGATTATTTTTGGGAATAAATTATTTAAATAATTAAAAGGTTTTATTGGTTTTAAAAGGTTTTACCTGCTTATTATTAATAAATAGGTAAACTTAATGATAAAATAGAGAAATTCCATTAAAATTGTATTAAAAATAATTGAAATTATGTGATGAGTTTTATTATTTATAAAAATAATTGAAAACCTACAAAGAATTTTATTATTCATGAAAATAAATAATAATTGAATCCTTGTAAAAATTTTATCATTTATGAAAATAATTGAATTATTGTAAAGAAATTTATAAAAAATTTATAACCCTGAAATATGAAAAATAAAATTAAAAATAAATAAATTGAAATAAAATAAAATATTAAAAAATAATGAAAATATTTAATTTTACAAAAAAATTATTTTTATTGTTTCAGAAGCCAATATGTCGGGAATGGAAACACGTGGCGCTGACACAAGCCCCACTCGTGAGCCTAGGTGAGAATTACCAGCACGCATATTATATATTTAATTATTTAACATACATAGAAAATAATATCAATGCCTTTGGACATAAAAATAATTTTTTATTGAAATATCACTTTCATTTTACCTTTTTTGAAATTTCTATTTTACAACTGTTAATCTTAAATAATTTCCCCTGGTTAATAAAAACTTGTAAAATTTTCAAAAAGAAAAAATAAAAATTATTCTATTTGCAAAATAAATAAACGATAGAAAATTATAATCATTTTTTTTTCATTTCCTGTATAAAATGTTTCACATTGATATTCCTTTTTTTTGTTAGTCTCAACGCTTAATGATAATAAATTTATATTTTACTTGAAATAAAGTGTATTTGGACCGTTGTGCGGGGAGGCAACATGATTCATTTAACATAAATGCGTCGGCATATTTAATTACTGTTGGAAATTCAGGGGAGCGTCCTCTCACGCGGGAGAGAGTTTACATATCGTTCCTCGTTTATTAAAGTGATTAGTGAAATTATTATTTGAACCCCATACAGGAAACGGTATATTTACCCCCCAAACACGTGGAATTGTTTGTAAAAATTAAAAATCTGTTTTTTTCCACTAATTGTTTACTTTTTACATAATAATCTGTAAATCTCCAGCACTTTATTCGTATTAAAAACATAAAAAATGTTTAAAATGAAATTTTTTTTTGAACATATTTTATGTTTTAATTACGAATAGTTACGAATTTAATTTTAATTCGTAATTAAAACATAAAGCGCTGAAGATTTTATTTTCAAATTTATTAAAATTATCGTAAAAGTTTTAATTTTATATGTTATTTAATTAATATAATTGAACTTGACATGTTTATCTAAATACAAAAAATGGTTTAACAAACAAATATTAAATTATATTTAATTAAAAAGTAAACTAAAATATAATAAATTAACCAATTAAAAAAAATATTAATTAACTGTTTTTAAGATTATTTGGAATATAAATTATTTTTTATAGATATATTTGTTATTATAAAATATTAAAAAAAAAGTTTTTTAAATATTCTTTTATAAATTTTTAAAAATATATTTATGCTATAATAGAAAATAATAATTCTCGCAAAGGAAAATTTGTTGCGCGTTATTTATAAACAATAGAAAATGGCTTTCTCAAAAATTAAAATTTTTCGTAATTTCTCTCTGAGATGAGTGCTTTGTACATATACGGGAGGGAATAAATTGTGTTACGAGGGAAAATCACGGAACGTAGCCCAGAATAGTAACCATTTTATCTTATTTTCTGCCCATCGCCATAGGCCTCGTGTGAAGAGAAAAGCTTTTACGGTAATTTTTTTCGCCACTCATCCATGATATTGTCATTCTTCGTCTAAGCAACTATTTTATTATCATCGATATCTTAAGAAATTTAAATAAAATTTCCATTCCACCTTATATATATTATAAATATACTCTGAAAATAGTTTTCGTTTATAATTAAAACGATAAAATAATTCAGACAAGCATTTTTTCTGCTTTAAAAGAATTTATAATTGATTTTTCTAGTTTTGGCAATTTTATATTTATTTACACGGAGAGAAAATATTAAATTTTGTAAAAGTGTTTTACAATTTGAGAAAAAAAATGGGACAGAGCGAAATTTTAATATAAAAAATACTAGAATTTAAAATAAATTATATTCAATTTAGTAAATTTATGTTAAAATTTAATTTATATTCTTGATATTAATTAACTATAATAATCTTCGTATTTCATTCTTTCAGTCTGTTCACACTTTGAAGTTAGTTTTTGTGTTTGATTTTATTTTTTTGTTTTTTTTTCTTTAAAAAATATTGTTTGACAGATTGGAAAAATAAAGGTATTGTTTCATGATTTATAATAAAACAATATTTGAAATTAGAAAATATAAAAAAATTATGATTAACAAATAAATTTTGTTTATTATATATAATAAAATAAAAAGCATAATATGCTTTTTTCTATAACAAATTTCGTTTGACTGAAATTTTTCTCCTTTTTATTTATAAAAAATAGAAAATTGTTAATTGTTAAAATATAATTATTAAGAAATAGAAAATATACCAAATTTATGCATAATTTATAATAATAAAATATTTATTTATTTATTTATTTATTTATATTTAATAACAATATTGTTCAGAAACTCATTCTTTTCTTTTGGAAAAGAAACATTACATATTCTATTCTATTTGTCAATTACAAATTTTAATTGAAAATGAAATTGAAACTTTTACAATTTTTAGAAAATAAAGAACAAAATTTTACTGAAAAAATGTTCTATTACATTTATTTACAAATTTCTTTATAATTGTTAAAATTATTCGAAAACATCAATAACTTTTTTTTTATATAAATATTTAATCAATATTATTTTTCCATAGGAATTAGGAATTTCAAAAATTTCAAATTCAAATCTTTCTAAATTCAATAACTTATAATAATTAAAGATGACCGAGTGATAAAATCATTGTTTTATATTATTAAAATAGGTATTATTACACTAACTTTTTCAAAATTATTTTCATCATTTCAAATCAATTATTATTTTTTACAATTTTTATTTATTTTTTAGAAAATAATTGAATTCCTTAAAAAAAATTGTATTATTTATCAAAATAATTGAATAATTGCGATGGAATTTATAAAAAATTTGTAAATAATTGAATTCCTGAGAAATTTTTATTATTTTATGGAAATAATTAAATGTTTGCGTATACTATTTTTGGGAATTTGAAATTGATTTGAAAATGATTGAACTTTGGGGAAGAATTTTGTTATTTATAAAGATAATTGGGATTTGACGAGAATTTTTTTTTTAAATTTGAAAGATAATTGAATTTTATGAGAAGAATTTTCATCACTCTTGAAAATAATTGAATTTTTGCAATTATTTGTAATATTTTTCCAAAATTGGATTTTTTTAGTGTTTTCAACAAAAATTTGAATGACAAATTTTTAAATTCTATTAGTTTTAAAATTGCTAATGTTCTCCTAAAAAGTTAGGTAGTTGCTAGTTTGATATAAATAAACAACATTTTACATAAGTTTTTTTAAAATTTAGTATTTTTGATAAAAAAATTTCGCTTTGTTGCATTTTTCCCCAAATTGTAAAATACTTTTACAAAATTCAATATTTATTTTCTCTTCGTGTATTTATTTAAATTTACAATTCAAATGTTTCAAGAAATAAACTAAATTTTTATTTGTAAAATTATTTACTTATTTTCATGTAAAAATAATTGCCAAAATAATTGGAATTTTTTTTACTTACTTGAAAGTAAGTAAACGAAATTGCAAATCTTTATTTACTTACTCGAAAGTAAGTAAACGAAATTGGAAAATATATTTATTATTTTTTCAGTAAGCAAATAAAATAGTGTTTTTGTTGCAATTAAATTTATTTTTTTTTGTATAAAATTTATATTTTATTTACTTACTTAGAAGTAATTTTTCTTTGTAATTTATTTACTTTTATATAAATTGTAAAATTAATTGCCATTCTATTTACTTTCTTACGATTATAAGTAAACGTAAATTTCCAAAATAATTGCATTTCTCTTTATTTACATGTTATGTAAATTGTAAAAAATTTCTATTTTATTTACTTTCCTAAAAGTAAGTGAGTAAATAAAATTTCTTGTTGTTGTAATTAAAATTATTTGTTCATAAAATTTATTTGCAATTTTACTTTTTTACTTTTTTAGAAAAGTAAATTGTAAAAACAATTACTATTTTATTTACTCACTTAAAAGTTAAAAGTAATTGTTTATTGAGAAAAAGCAATAATTGTATCATCTTTTTTAAACATAAGTAAATTAAATATTTATTTACTTTTCTTTCATGAAAAAATTTATAAAAGTACAAAAACAAAAATTTTGTATTGCAAAATAATTTCTATATCTTTTGAATAAAAAAAAAAAAATTTTTAATTGGATAAGAAATAAATTTTTTTCTCCAATACAGGAAGATCAGAATGCACAGCGTCGCATTACCAATAGGAAAATCACTACTTCTAGAATCACCATCTAAAGGAAATAATGGAGCACCACCAATTCCACGACGTCATTCTGCAACCCCAACGGTACACTAAATTCTCAATTATTAACACTTCTGTATAGAAATAATATTTCTCCTTTTTCTTTTCCATACAATTTACATATAATTAGCGTAAGTAACGAAAAAAATCACTATAAGTTGAAAACAAATTTTTACAATTTATTTCTGTATATTGTTATTATTATTATTATTATTATTATTACTACATGATAATTACTATTGAAAATTGATTTAATTTTTCTCGTGTTTGCTTTATTGGAAATGTAATTTACAACAAACCCTGATAGTTAATGTACTAATATGAGATTATATTAGCACAGAAATTCAATTAATAATATAATCGATTACTGGCTTTTCCCCTATATATATGTATACAAGTAGATATATGGATAAGTAACTTGCGATTAAAGTCACTTAATCGGATTAGTAAATGAGAGAGTATAAAATTATTTCCTTTTTCGAAAATCAAGTAAAAGTTTTTTTTCACTTTATTTTATTTTTATTAATTTTAAATTAGTGCTGCACGTCGAGCGATTCTGGTTAGATAAATTCTCGCCAAAATGCCGACCATATCGTAAAAATATATTAAAAATTTAAAAAATTGAATTTTTATAATTTCATTCCACTTATTTTAATGACAAGAAAATAAGACGAAAATACAATTTACATTACTTGCTTGACGTGCATCATAATTTTTAAATTATTTATTTAATTGTTTATTATTTATTTATAATAATAAATTTTTTAGATTTATATTCGCATTTTATTTATTTATTTACATTTTTAATCATTTTTAATTATTTCTTTACCTTTTTTTATTTGAAAATAAATTCTTTATCTTAGTTTATCATTAGAAATATGCTAAATAATAAAAGAAAGAAACTTTTGTCTTTCATTTTTTTTCTCTGAAATTCTATATAAAGAGGGAAAATAATAAATAAGGAAATCGAATTTTTCCATTCGAAATAAATGACTTTTTTTTCAAGTTGAGTAATCTCTCCTAAAACAACACTCTCGAAAGTAAATATTTACTGACTGACAATAACACGTTCTTTTTCATCAACAGAAAAGTCTCTACTTTGAGATTTTATATATACAGTAGTGCCCGAATTTTTCTCCCGAAGTCATGAATATTTCCATTTTAATTTCCATTTCAAAAAAATAAATTTTTTGTTAGGTACAATTTTTATTCGAATTTCCATTGTAATTTACATTCGAATTTACATTTGAATTTGAATTCTAATTTTTATTTGAAAACAATTTTAATTCGAATATCTGTTTTCTCGACAATAATATTCATTTGTGTGACGATTATTTATTTTGAAAAGAGGAAAAAAAATTTATATTTACAGGTAGCACCACCACCAATACCACTGAGGCCGCCGGCAATTCCAAAAAGAAGTAAAAATGAACGTCCTTTTCTTCCAACGAAGGGAATAATTAATCGTTTGGAAGTGAAGAAAAAACAAACAAATGACGACGAGTCAGCAGCTGCATATTTGGGTCCAATGATGATGATAATGGATAATAATAAATCGTGGCACAATTCCGATGTACAATGTGAAAAATTAATAAACATCGAGCCAACAGTTAATTTTAAAGAGGCAACAAGAAGATTAGAGTCGAAGGATAATTTTGCCGACAATTCCGATGAGCTCGATTTCAACAAGACACTACAAAATGCATCATCGAGCTTTGAGGAACTTCAAAAGTCTTCCAGGGACCTTGGAAATCGTCTTCATCATGAGAAGATAATCAAGGGTACAAATTTCAATACCGATAAACTTAAAAGAGTCGAAAATTGTTCACAACAATGTCCAACGATTCAAAAGAACAGGTAAAGAGACATGAAATTTATTTTTTAGAAAAAAAAAAAATAAAAAAAAAAAACAAAAGAAAAAAAGAAAAACGAAAGAAAAAAAAAATTGGATCAATTTAAATCGAAATGGACTATTTTCAAAGCCTTCAATTTAGGGAAAATTTAATTATAAGTTTCGTGCATTTCTAGTTTTTTTTTAAATATTTTTTTTCTAAAAAAAAGCTTTAATCTTCTTCACAGTTAATTAAATTTTATTCTATGGAATTTTCATTTCAATTTATTTTGTGAAAATAAATTTCCAATATTTGTTGAAATCGGTGAAAAAAAATGCAGAAGTTTAAAAATTTACTTACACTTTTTTCGCTTAAAAATTTTTCCTTCTCTAATGGACTCTTGTAAAAATAACAGAACGGGTTCGATTCTTTTCAGTGCAATTAATTTTTCGTTTTGGAATTTTTTTGTTTGCTTTTATTAAATATTATTTTATACCTTTTATTTTGCCAACTAGCAGCAATTCTTGACTTTTTTTAATAAAATTAGAAATTTTAAAAATAATAGAATTTAAAAATTTCCTAATTTAAATTTTTGTTAAAAACACTAAAAAATAAATTCAATTTTGGAGAAATTACATATATCTACTATTTTCATAAAATTTCTCAAAAAGAATTCAATTATTTAAAAATTTTTTTAATAAAATTGTATGCAAACATTTAATTATTTTCATAAATAATAAAAATTTCACAGGATTTCAATTATTTTCATAAAAAATAATTTTAAATTCTAGAAAATAATAATTGAATTAAAATGATGAAAATAATTTTGATGAAGTTACAGTAACAATATTCTTATAATGTAAAATAATGATTTTATCTCTTGGTCATCTTTAATTATTAGAAAACATGAAGAAATCGATCACTCCGAGTCGAAGACTCGGAGTGATCGATATCTTCATGTTTTATAACAATACTTTTATAAATTGTTTAATTTAAAAAAAGCTTGAATTTGAAATTTTTGAATGTCAATTCCTGTGGAAAATCCTGTTCCAAAAATAAGATTAAAAATAGAAATTGTGCAAATATTTTTCTTCTCTTTCTAAAACAAAATAATAATTTTGTTAAAAAAATTGTGATTCATAAAGAAAAATAATGCAAAATAAATAAATTTTCTATTTCTTGATCACAGTTGTTTAACTATTTTCTATGTACCTTAGAAGTAAAGAACAAAAATCTGTATAATTTCAATTTGACAAAACATAATATTTAACAAAATTTTAGTCTTTTAATGAAAAGAAGTTAAAAAAATTCTGATAATTTCTATTTGTCATTACAATTTTGAATTAATTAAAAAATAAAAATAATTATAACATTAATTAATTAATTAATAATAATAAAGTACATGTTCCGGTAATATGTTCGCAGTTTAAAGTTAAATGTTGTTTGCTTTTAGTTTCTGAACTTTTTTATAATTTTTCTTTTCAAATATTTTCAATTTTAAAATTAATGTACTGAAAATCATCGAATTGTTGCAAAGAATTTTTTCAAAAAATTTAATGATAATAGAATTTCTCCAAAGAATTTTATTATTTAGGAAAATAACTGAATTCTTGCAAAGAATTTTATTAAAATTTTTAAAAATCCTAATTAAATTCTTTTGAAGAATTTCTTTTTTTTAAACTAATGGATTTTTTTAAAAATTTTAATTGAAAATTTTGAAAGCAGTTGAATTTTATGAAGAAAAATTTTATTAAAATTGTATTGAAAATAATTGAATTCTTGCGAAGAATTTTACAATTTATAAAAATAATTGAATTGTTCCAAAGAATTTATTAAAAATTTAGAAAATAAATGAATTTTATGTTAATATTTGAAAATTTGAATTCATCCGAGGAATTCAATTAAAATTTTTTTCAAAATAATTAAATTTCTACAAAGAATTTTACTATTTATAAAAATAATTGAAATGTTTCGAAGAATTTATTAAAATTTTAAGAAATAATTTTAAGCTGTTATGAAGAATTTTATAGAAATATTTGAAAATAATGAAATTTTTTCGAGAAATTCAATTAAAGTTATTTCGAAAATAATGTAATTTCTTTAAAGAATATTATTAAAATTATAAGTATATATTCAAAATAATTGAATTCATCACAAGAATTTTATTATTTTTTGAAAATAATTGAATTCCTTCAATTTTTTGAAAAATATATTTAAAAATTGCATTGAAAGTAATTTAATTGAATTTTATGAAAATTTTTTAAAATAATTAAATTCTTTCATGTAATTTTATTTAAATTTGATTAAAAAATAATTGAATTTCTGCAAAGAATTTTTGTATTTATAAAAAATAGTTGAATTATTTCGAAGAATTTATTAAAAGTTTAGGAAATAATTGAAATTTTTAAAAATATTTAAAAATATTTCAACACATCCGAGGAATTCAATTAAAATTGTTTTGAAAATAATTGAATTTCTGCAAAGAATTTTCGTATTTATAAAATTAATTGAATTCTTGCGAAGAATTTTACTATTTATAAAAATAATTGAATTGTTTAAAATTTTAGAAAAAAATTAAATTTTTTCAAAATGTGTTAAAATTTAAAAAAAAATTGAATTCTTCCGATGAATTTAATTAAAATAGTTTTGAAAATAATTGAATTTTTGTAAAGATTTTACTATATTTAAAAAAATAATTGAATTGTTTACAAGGATTTATTAAAATTTTAGAAAATAATGTAATTCTTTCGTGGAATTTTATTAAAATTTTTGAAAATATGAACAGTAATAATCAATTTTGTACTTAATAAGTGAATTCTTTAAATTTTGATTATGAAATTATTTCTTAACTTTCATTTTTCCATTTCATTATTTTCACTTTATTATTTTATTACTTTTACTTTATTATTTTATAATTTAAATTGAAATTAGAAATATTTGAATAGAAATTTTCCAAAACGAACATTTATATTTTTTGATATTTTCCTTCACTTTAATTAATTATCAATTCCATAAAAATATTCGCGGAGCTGATGTTTTTCTTTAAGTAAACAAATCGAAATTTTTTTTACTATTCCTTTTGATATATATATATATATTCTGCTTATAATAAGTAATTATTATAATTATATATTTTTCAATATTTTACTTACGATATAACTTCGATAGGGATCATATGTTGTATAACTCACCTGAAACAAAAAAAAAAAAATACTTCATTATTAGAATTAGAAGAATAAATCTATCAATTATTAAAAAAAAAAAGAAAAATATCTATATCAAAGTCAAAATACTCAAAATGAAAATAATAAACATAATTTTTGTGATTTTAGGTATTTTTTTGCACTATTCGTAATTTTGTTTCAAAATTTAAAAGAGTAAATAAAAAAATAAAAAAACAGAAAAGATTTCAAAGATTTTTGTTTTTTCTTTTCTCTCTCATTTTTTAGAAAAAAAAGAAGTAATTGCAATTATTCTAAGATTAAATCTTATTCATTGTGATTATTCAGTAAACTATTAATTGAATCATTCGATATTCTAACAGACTTAAATGTAACAATTTCCATCAGGCTTAAGTCTTTAGACAATATAACGGTCCAATTGGCGCAATGAAGTTTTCATCTACGTTGGTTTCAGATTCAATGAAATTAGAAACGATAATTTGTATTTAATGAATCTCTCCTCGAGAGGCAAATTTAAAGTCATTTTATGGAGAAACAGATTATGCAAATTGAAAATGAAATTAAAGAATAACCATCTGTGGATTAATTTTCTTAACTCAGCAAAAAAAAAAAAAGACAAAACATTTTTTTTATCAACAACAGAAAAAAAGATTCCATTACATTCTAGATAAATTCCCATTAAGAAAATTAAATCCACCTCTCTCTCTCTCTTTCTCTCTCTTTGGTAATTATAAAAGAAAAACAAAAAAAACTATAAACTTTTTTGAAAGAAGAAAAAATTTATCACAAAGTTTCACAAGAGAGAAAAAAAGAAATCGTTTTTCTCCCTCTCTTTTTCTCGCATGGAAAAACGAATAAATATATTTCGATTTTAAAAACTACCGGGAAACTGGATTACATTCTTCTTTGCGTACAAAAAAAAAAGAAAAAGTAAAGAAAAAGCTTTGAATCGATCGGTCTACAATTGACTTTTGTTGCCTTTCAAAAGGATGAAAAACATCGCGAAAACCTTTCAGAGCAGAGTTTTGCTATTCTCTCTTTTTTTTCTTCTTCTCTTTTTTTTTTAGAGGCCAGAACGAGAGGTCAAACCTTCTCGACGACGATGGGTTTCAAAGAAAAAAAATCATTCCCAGAGATAAGACATTTTTAAATAGAGAGATAAATTTTGAGAATATTTCTTGTATTGCACGTAATCGTCAGGAGATGGAGAAAAATTCAAAATTCGAACAATTAAAAGTGGCGTCACAAAATTTGGAACGACATCTAAACGACGATATTGCGACTCATTATAATCAAATGTCAACAGAAATGAAAATTGATGATACGCAAAGAATGCCTGATGATATTAAGAGACATTATCAGGAGCTAACACCGAAATTTGATGAATTACAAAAGGCAACGAACGAGTTCGAGAGAAAATTACAGGAGAAAACATTGAGTGCAATTGAAAAGACATTTCGTCTTAAGTACGAGGCTGAATTGGAGAAGGCACGTGTTATGCAAAATAATTTACGAAAGGAGAAAAATTATGGTGAAAAATTGGAAAAATTACCAAAAGCAACGCAAACTAATTTACCGCCACCATTGAGTTCGATATGTTCGCAAAATTCAGTTTCAAAGCCCATTAGTGTTCGACAAGATAGCAATGTTTCTTCGGATAGTTTCAGTCAAACGAGTTCGCCGAGTTATACGAGTAAAACTATGGAGGCACCATTGATACCACTCAAGCAATCAAATGGCAAAATTCCAGGTAAATATTATACTTTTTATACTTTTTTTTTTTTCTTTAAAAGTAGTTACAAAATTAGATTAAAAGAAACAATAAAAATTGTTTGGCAATTTTCTATAAATTTTATAAATTGAAAATATTTGTGTGACTAAAACTGATTTTTACTACTTACTTGCAAAATACATTTAAAAAAAGATTTTGTCTGACTAAAAATTATCTTTACTGCTTACTTGCAAATTAAATTTAAAAAAAGATTTGTCTGACTAAAACTGATTTTTACTACTGAGCAGCCAGTAAAGACAATTGAAAATAAGTTTGTCAGACTGAAACTGATTATTACTACTTGCAAATTTAATTAAATAAATATATGTCTGACTAAAACTGATTTTCACTACTTAGTTGCAAATTAAATATAAAAAAGATTTGTGCGACTAAAAGTGATTTTTATTACATACTTGCAAATTTAATTCAAGATTTGTCTGAGTAAAACTGATTTTTACTACTTACTTGCCAATTAAATTTAAAAAAAGGATTTGTCTGATTAAAACTGTTTTTTACTACTTACTTGCAAATTTAATTTCAAAAAAAAAAATTTTGTCTGACTAAAACTGATATTTACTATTTATTTGCAAATTAAATTTAAAAAAGGATGAGTCTGACTAAAACTTATTTTTACTGCTTGAAAATTTAATTAAAAAATATATGTCTGACTAAAACTGAGTTTTACTATACTTACTTGCCAATTAAATTAAAAAAAAGGATTTGTCAGACTAAAACTGATTTTTACTACTTACTTGCAAATTAAATTTCAAAAAAAAAATTTTGTCTGACTAAAACTGATATTTACTACTTATTTGCAAATTAAATTTAAAAAAAAGGATGAGACTGACTAAAACTGAATTTTACTACTTGCAAATTAAATTTAAAAAAAGATATGTCTGACTAAAACTGATTTTTACCACTTAATTGCAAATTAAATATAAAAAAATATTTAGGCGAATATATAAGTGATTTTTATTTCATATTTGCAAATTAAATTCATTAAAAATTTGTCTCACTAAAACTGGATTTTACTACTTACTTGTAAATTAAATTTAAAAAAATTGTCTGACTAAAACTGATATTTACTACTTATTTGCAAATTAAATAAAAGAAAGTTATGTCTGACTAAAACTTATTTTTACTACTTATTTGTAAATTAAATAAAAAATAAGATTTGTAGGACTGAAACTGACTTTTACTACTGGTTTGACAAAATAAAAATCAATAATGGTTTGTCTGACTAAAAATGATGTTTACTACTGATTGTCATCTACATGAATTTATTAAAGTTGTCTAATAAAAAGCAGGCCTTGGATATCATCCCTTTTTCTACTTTTTTTGGACTATTTTCGAACAATGCGACTTTTATCGACTTATATTAAAAAATTGCGACTTTTTCGACTTTTCTTTCAAATTTTGCAAACAAAAATACCACATTTTTATTAGAAAAAAATGCAATTTATTTCGATTTTTATTGCACTGTCAAAAGTATAACTATTGACAAATCTTAGAAAAGTTATTTTTGAATAATTTTTCTAATTAAATTTTTGAAATATACAATTAAAAAGATTTTAAATAATTTAAATTTTGTAAAATTTAATTAAAAATAAATCATTTTTTCGCGTATTTTAATAGAATTTTTGAAAAAAATAATTTTTAAAAAATAATAATAAAATATTTTTGAATAAACTAATTCTCAGAATTTTTTCATTCTAATTTTTTAAAATTCAATTATTTTTAATACAAAATTTTTCGAAAATTTTATTCTTTTTTTATATTTTTTAAAAACTCAATAATTTTGAAAAAAATTTTATCAAATTTCAATTATTTTTTAAAAAATAATTAATTGAATTCTCGAAGAATTTTCGTAAAATTATTAAAAATTAATATAGATAATTGATTTAGAGATGAAGTTTAGTTAAAAATTGTAGAAAATAATTGAATTTTGTAAGGTTTAGAGTTGTAATTTTTTAGAAATTAATAAATTTCAGAAGTTTGCAATTTTTAAAACTTTATTTTTCGTGAAAAAAGAAATAAGAAGTATTTGAATATTTAGCAAAATTATTTCAGTTTTAATTAATTGAATTTAGAAATCAATGAAGAAACAGGGAAATACAAAATAAAATTTTTTTGTGACAACAGTAAAATAAATAAACGATTTTTTTTTTACTTTTTTTCTATTTTTAATCGACTAAAGCGACTATTTTTGCTCGTTAAAGTTGACCCGAGACCTAAAAAAGTGACTGTTACTATTGATTCAATAACTATATGAATTCAGAATTAGTTCGTCAGACCAAAAACAATTTTTACTACTTATTCACAAATTGCAATTGAGGAAAAGTTTGTTGTAAATTGTTTTTTATTACTAATTTTCGAATTGAAGTTTAGAAAAAGCTTGTCTGACCAAAAATGACTTTTACTACTTTTATTGGTTCAATTCAGTACTTCCAGGAAATTAGTTAAAGTTCGGTCTGACTTAAACTGACTAATACTACTGATTTACAACCTGAAACTTCTATTAAAATTTATGTCTGACTAAAATCGATTGATACTACTGATTTTTAAACTAAATGAATTAAAAGAAAGTTTGTCAGACTAAAACTCGAGTATAAAGTTTAATTTGTTCAAAATAAATTTTACCAAGTTTTACTATAACCTTCTTTGCAAATATCTAACATGTAAATAAAAATTAGTAGTATAAATCAGTACTAGTCAGACGATCCTTTTTTGAATTGTAATTCAAGTATACTCTGTAAACTTTGTGTAAGTTAATTTTCAGTAGTAGAACTTGTTTTTCGTCAGACATTCTTTTTACTACTTGGTGGTTTTAAAAACAGTAGTGCAAATCACTTCCGGTCAGACAGAATGTTTAAAATTCGTTAAATTCAAAATTCAGTAGTATAAGTAAACTCCTGTCAGACGCGAAATTAATTGAATCCGTTGATTTTAAAAGTCAGTTAAAAAACTCATGTTTCCTCATATTTTATTTTCACATCAGATATTATATTATAACCAAATTTTTTTAAATTTATTTATATTATTATATTTATAATTTATATTTAAAATTATTTTTCTACTTTTAAAAAATTTCTCGAATATTTTTTCCAAAAACTGTTAACTAAAAAGTAAAAAGAAAAAAATCATGTCTGACTAAAAACGAATCTCACTATACTCATGTGACGAAAAGTTTACATTAAAATTCTCTTAGCCCGCATACATAACGTTTGAAGGAAAGTTTGAAAATGTAAATTTTGAATTTAATTGTTTAAATTTACAGACAGAGCATTGACTGAAAACCCACCAGGAAGTCCAATCACAAAATCTATGAGCACTCCGGCTAGTTTACAAACGATCGTGAGATTTCACAGTGGCAGCAACATGTCCTTTAACCATAAAGTGAGTACAGTGTCCTTAAATTCCCTTTAAAGTCCATTTGGAGAATCGATCTTTGAAATCTGACAGGGACATTCGAAATATAATGAGACTGTACAAATATAGTTGGTGCAATTAGTTTAAGGAACTTTAACGATCATTGTTTGATGTTCTATTCAATATAATATATATAACGAAGCTTTGCCTATAAATATCGAAATTCAAATATATATACTCCTCTCTCAATCAGATGAAATTAATGTATCAAGATGTTATTTATTTGTCAAAGAAGAAAATTAAATTCTGACAGGAAATGTTTATTTTATTATATTAATTTGTTTTAGCATTTATTTATTAATTTTTTTTACTTTCAGTAAAAAGAGGGGATCAAAATTAAATTCTAAGCACTTGTTTTCTCGAAAGTATCAAATTGATTCTAAAGTGGATCAAGTTGATGCTAAAAATTTAGATCAAGTTTTAATTTGATACACATTTTTGGTATATATATTCGTTTCAATTTGATATTATTAAGTTAACAGTGAGTAGAAATTGTATATAATTTTGTCTAATGTTTATGAAAAAAAGTATTGAAAAAAAATGAAATTTTTTAACTTCCTAAGAAAATTCTCAATTTTGTGTCTTTTTTGTTTGCCTCATAAACTATGGAATTTCCACGAATTCTAATAAAAAATCTTCAATTATTTCTATTTCTAAAAATAATTTCTTTTTAAATAACTTAATTTTTCAAGAACTATCATAAAATTATGACTTATAAATTATTTTATGAATAATTTTTACAATTTTCATAAATACTAGATTGATAGAAGAATTTTAGTTGAAAATACTGAAAAAAATTGAATTTGGGAAAAGTTACAAATGATTCCAGAAATTCAATTATTTTCAAAAGTTCTAAAAATTCTACGCAGAATTTCAATTATGTTCAGAAATTTAAAAAAAATTCTCATCAAAATTTCAATTATCTTTATAAATAATAAAATTCTTCATCGAAATTCAATTATTTTTAAAAATTTTAATAAAATTCTTGGCAAAATTTCACAGAAATTCAATTATTTACAAAAATTTTAATAAATTTTTTCGAAATAATTCCAATTATTTTCATAAATAATAAAATTTTCACAGGAATTCAATTATTTAAAATACAAAATTTCATAAAATTTTTCTTAAAATATTAATTATTTAAAAAGATTTTTATAAAATTCGTCGCAAAAATTTAATTATTTAAAAAAATTTAACAAAGTACTTTTCATAAATTCAATTATTTTTATAAATAATAAAATTCTTCACAGAAATTCAATTATTTTTAAAAATTTTAATAAAATTCTTGACAAAATTTCACAGAAATTCGATTATTTACAAAAATTTTAATAAATTTTTTCGAAATAATTCAATTATTTTCATAAATAATAAAATTTTCACAGGAATTCAATTATTTAAAATACAAAATTTCATTAAAATTTTTCTTAAAATATTAATTATTTAAAAAGATTTTTATAAAATTCGTCGCAAGAATTTAATTATTTAAAAAAATTTATCAAAGTTCTTTTCATGAATTCAATTATTTTTATAAATAATAGAATTCTTTACCGAAATTCAATTATTTTTATAAACTTGAATAAAATTCGTTGCAAGAATTCAACTTTTTATAAACATAATAAAATTCTTCACAGAAATTCAATTATTTTAAAAAATTTTAATAAAATTCTCGGCAAAATTTCACAGAAATTCAATTATTTACAAAATTTTTAACAAATTTTTTCGAAATAATTCCAATTATTTTTATAAATAATAAAATTCTTCACAGAAATTCAGTTATATTTATAAACTTGAATAAAATTCGTTGGAAAAATTAATTAACCTCCAAAAGTAATAAAATTGTTCGCAGAAATTCAATTATGTTTAAAAATTAAAAAAAAAAATCTTGTCAAAATTTCAAGTATCTTTATAAATAATAAAATTCTTCTCCGAAATTCAATTATTTAAAAAAATTTTTTGTTAAAATTCTTCGCAGAAATCCAATTATTTACAAAAATAATCAAAATTTCACAGGAATTAAATTAACAAATTTTTTTAAAAATTTTTTCTTCATAATTCAAAATACTATTTTCTTAAATAATAAAATTTTTTTAGGAATTTAATTATTTTGAGAAATAATAAAACTCATCGCAGGTTTTCAATTATTTTTAGTACAATTTTAATCCAAATTTCTCGAAAAATGTAATTGTTCTTAATAATTTTATTTTTATTTTTAAAGTCGTAACGCTTGTGTTACTTTAAGAGAAAAAAAATGTCTTTCAATAAATAAAATAGTTCCTTTTCATAAATATAGATTTAGATTTATTTTAATTTACTAGATTTTTAAATAGAAAAAAACTGAAAATTTATACAGTATCGTCAGCTGGGAAAATTTTATTTGAATATTGAATAAAGTAATATTCTTTAAATAACAAATTCTTTTCTACTTTCGAGTAGAAAATGTATTGACAAGTCGGGATAGAAAATATCTAAGAAGAAAAAAGAGTTTTTTTAAAAAAATAAATTCTAATACAGCTTTTTCGTTGTATTTTGTAGATAATTAGAGATATGAGAAGACCCAGTAGTCATTTTGTAACGAGAGGAAGATTTCGATTCAGGTTCGCTCAGATTCTTGCGAATGTGATAGCCCTCATGGTCATTGCTGGTGGATTAGCAGCATATTTCAAAAGTAAGTGCAAAATTCTTCTCTCAATACAATAAATGTTTTTTTGAACATTATTTTATTGTTATTATTTTTATCAATATTATTTTTTACTTATTTCCTTATTTTTCTTCTCTCTAAATTTAAATTTGTAAATATTTTTACTAATTTGAATTAGTGATTAAATGTTTGCTTTTGAATTTCTAAAGTTTACAAACAAATTAGTAAAAATTATTGTTTATTAGTAAAATTTACAAACAATTTAGTAAAAATGACTATTTATTAGTAAAGTTTACTAACTGGAAAGCTAAAAGTTAGTGACTAATTTAAAAATTAGCAAAGATTTTTACTAATTCAAATTTATAATTTTTCTTTCAATTTTAGTTTTAGGTATTATTATTATTATTATTATTATTATTATTATTATTATTATTATTATTATTATTATTATTATTATTATTATTTTTATTATTATTATTTAAATTTTAATTTTTCTTATTATTATTTTTATTATCACTATTATTGTACAGTAATTTGTTTATTACTAATTACTTCCTTATTTTCGTATCTTTAAATCTAAACTAATATGTAACTAAAAAAAGCTAAAAAATATTGTGCTTTTTTAAAAATACATATATGAGAAAACATTTCGAAAAAATAGAACGAGAATTATAAAAATCGCACAGTTCTGGAAATTGTTTTTTGTTTCAAATAACACAATGACTTATTTCAAGAAAATAATGACTATTTCAAAGTGTTCTCGAAGTTATTATTGGCATTTCAAAATGTAGGAGAGATACAAATGTTCTATCTACTGTGTATATATGTATATATAGATACATATATAGCTATATGTATAGACAAGAGAGAGCGATGAGCTTTGTAACCAACGAGGATCAATAGTCTTCTCGTGTACCAACTTCTGTCAACAAGTTCACAAATATTGCAATCTTCCCAATGAGATACACAATCTTAGAAACTCATCAACATTTTTTTTTTTCAATCTGCCCTTGTTTTAAAATTCAAAATTAAACGATTGAAATAAAAATTCCCATTATAGATGTATTTACAGAGATATTATTACTTTATTTAATTGAAAATAAGAGTATTTATTAATTTTTTTATTTTTTCCTTGTAGACAATTTTTGAATACGATAGAACTTTTATTGTTTTTTTATTTATTTTTATTTTTATCTTCTAAATTGAAAATTAGTGGTAAAAGTTATAAATAGAGAATTTTAATATAGTTGATGTCGAGGGGAATCAGTAGTAAACATAAGTTTTAGTCAGACATATATTCTTTGAATTGTAATATCAAAATCAGTATTAGTAAACATCAGTTTGAGTCTGACAAATATTTTCTGAATTCTTGAAATTTTCAGCGCAGTAGTTAAAATCGGTTTTAGTCGGACATAAATCATATCAGTTTTCGTTCTTTGAAAATAAGTAGTCACAGTCAGTTTTTAGTAAGACGGATGTTTTTCTATTGACTTCTTGTAGATTGTAAGTTATAGTAGTAACTACTTTTACCATAACCAGTAGTACAATTTTTTAATAGTCAGACAAACTTTTTCTAAATTGAAATTTGTATAAAGCAATAGCAGGGGTCGAACTAGGTCCGTAAATTTCGTAAAAGTACATAAATTTACTTGATGTCCGTAAAAGTCAGTTTTTTAAAAAAAAAGGTCCGTACTCTCTAAATCTGAATATGTGAAAATTCACATATTTGTACGTTATAAGTCGTCTTCTCGATCAATAAGTGCATATACACTTATAATAAGTGAAATTTCACTCAGAATAAGTGAAAAATTCACTTATTTATAAGTGTATATGCACTTATTGATCGAGAGGACGACTTATAACGTACAATAAGTGAAATTTCACATATTCAGATTTAGAGAGTAAAGTCCGTAATTTTATTAAGAAAAGACGAAAAGTTCGTAAATTGTACGATAAATAATTAAATTCTTCTCCGAAATTCTATAATTTTTAAAAATTTAAATAAACTACTTAGCAAAGTTTCTATTAATTTCAAAAATTTTCGTAAATAATAAAATTCTTTTTAGGAATACAATTATTTTCGTAAATAAAACTGATTGCAGAATTTCAATTAATTTTAATACAATTTTAAGGAATCAAATTTCTCGAAAAATGCAATTATTTTAAAAATTTTTATTAAAATTCGTCAAAAGAATTCAATTTTTTAAAAATTTATTCATTAAATTCTTCATGCGAATTCAATTTTAAGAAACATGCAATTATTCAAAAATTTTTTTCTTTTGTATTTACATAATTGAATTCCAGTAGAATTTTCCAATAAAAATTGATTTAAAAATGGTTTCTAGTTACAATTTTAGATTGTATTAAATTTAATATTAATTAAAAATTAAATTAAAAAGCATTAGAGCATGAATTCACTGTAAAAACACTGCAAAAACAAGCATCTTAAATACATTATAATCACTTTTAAAACGATTAAAACATCTTATTTTTCCATCTTCTATATCTTAGAAACTAATGCATTTTAAGATGCTTTGAATAACTTTTTGGAAACAACTTAAAAGTGACTACCAAAATATCTTAAAATAAGATGCCTTCTTTTTACAGTGTTTTTAGAAATAATTGAATTTGAAATTTTTGAAAATCTGAATCTTTCATTTTTTTAACTAACAACAATTCTGTGGAATTAATTTTTTGAGAAATAATTGTGAATTTTTTTTAAATTGTAAACAAATGAATTTGAAAATTCTCAAAGAACTTTTTTTAAATATTATTAAAAATAATGCACTTATAGAAGAATTTTAGTTAAGAAAAAAAAAAATAAAATTTAATTTTGGAAAAATTACAAATTATTGGTAGAAATTCTATTATTTTCAAGAGTAATAATATTCTTTGCAAAAATTAAATATTCCTTAAAAATAATAAAATTCTTCTCAATAATTCAATTATTTTCAGAAATAATAAAACTCATCGCAGAATTTCAATTATTTTTTAATACAATTTTAATCGAATTCCTTGAAAAATGGAACTATTCTAAAAAAATTTATTAAAATTCGTCGAAAGAATTCAATTATTTAAAAATTTGTTGATAAAATTCTTTATGGGAATTAAATTTTAAGAAATATTTAATTATTCAATAAATTATTTATTTTTCCATTTAAATAATTGCATTCTCGTGGGATTTTCTAATAAAAATTAATTTAAAAATGAATTTCAGTTAAAATTTTAGATAAAAATTTTACACTAACTGTTTTTGAAACCAGCAAGTAGTAGAAAGAATATGTCTGACGAAAAACAAGTTCTACTACTGAAAATTAACTTACATAAAGTTTATAGAGTACTTGAAACTAAATTTGTCTGGCAGAAATTTACATACCTGTCGGACAGAAATTGACTTGTACTACTGATAAACCTATTTTTGCTCTTAACATTTTTTCGCTATCAATCTCGCAAAGTTTTTAAGAAATAATTTCTCTAGTCATCAAAGTAAAAATTACTTTCCGAAGTTTTACAACATGTAAATAGAAAATTTTATTTTCAGAGTAGTAAAACAGAATTGCAATCTAAATAAAAAATAAATAAATTTTGTAATTCGGAATAATTTAATAAAAAAAAAAGCTGTAATAATAAAAAAATTGCAAAAAAAAAAGATTTCATTTTCAAAAAAAAATTAAATTCAAATAAAAACATTTCGTTTTTTTTTAGTCACAAAATGGTTTATTTTCTCCGCGTAAACTGCGCACTTTATGGAATAACGAGGTTTGGGAAAAGATGAAAAGGACACTTGATTAAAATAAGTAGATTTTAAAAATGCAATAAAAAGCGAAATTTAATCAACTTGAAGGGAAAAGTTTTGGGGACATAAATTTTTCGCAAAATAAAAAAAAAGGAACTGAAAGAGAGAGAGAGAGAGAGAGAGAGAGAGAGAGAGAGAGAGAGAGAGAGAGAGAGAGAGAGAGAGAGAGAGAGAGAGAGAGAGAGAGAGAGAGAGAGAGAGAGAGAGAGAGAGAGAGAGAAAGGGTTAAAATGGGCTCGATCAATTGATTAATTTATGGGATACAGTTTAAAACTGTCTCCAAGTTAAAGGGGGGAATGAAAAATTGTTCTGAAACGCAGTGAATTTTGCTCACGGTAGTTGGTCAGTTCTGGGTGGAATTGTTGACGAAAATAAGAGAAATCCCAAAGCAATATACTCATACCAAAATTATTCCCCATTCGTAACTGCTATTCTCTTTCCAGGATTGCAATTTAAACCGCCCAGCAGATATATATACATAAACTATATAACTACTATATATGTGTTTGTGTTTATATATAGATATGTTATGTACGTATATATGAAAGAGATGGTTTGAAAATGGTCCACAGATTACGTACACGCAGTGCACATCTCCTACAATTCACTTTTCAGAGAGTAAACCCAGCTTTCTATCCTCTTTCTCTCGTAAAATGATTAAAGGTTAAACTCTTTATTGATATTACTGCAATTTAATATTAATCTCTCATGAATGCCAAATTAAAATGAACTCCTATTAATAGAAAAAAAAATATTTTTCATTTTTCTCTCTCAATTAGAATTACATAGAAATTGATAAATATTAAGGGAACATTTGCTGTCATATAATATTCAGGTATAGAAATATGTAAAAATGAATCAATTTTAAGTAAAAAAAAAACTTAAAACTTGATAGGTTTACGAATTGCCTTGAACGAAATAATTAATTTTAAAAAAGTAGTAAAAAGTAGCTTTAAGACCGAAAAAAGTAGTTAAAAAATAGCAATTGAAAAATTAAATTCAACGACTAAAAACAAACTCGTTTTTAGATGATTCAGAAAAATCACAAAAATTTATTTCTTCATTTTTTTCTAATTTTCATCGAAAAAAATTTACATTTTTTCTCATACTGCTAATATTTTAAATTCTAAATTTTGTACAAAATTCAATAATTTTCTAAATTTTAATTTTAAATTCTAAAAAAATACGATTTTATTTAATTTTTAAAAACTATTTGTCCAAATGTTTTCGTTTTATTCTCCTTCACTATGATTATATTTAAAAATAATTTTTAAATCTAGAAAAAAAATTTTTTAAATGTAGGACAATTTATTTCAATTGAAATTGACAATATTTCTAAATAATTGGAACTATAATTTCATCTTTTAAAAATAATGTACGGGAATTCAACTATCTTCAAAACATTTTAATTATAATTTTTCAAAAGTCGAATATTTTTCATAATTTTAAAATTAAATTATACATTTAAAATTTGGATAATTTTTGTTAAATAAATATTTAAAATTTTAAATACATTTTTATTTATCCACAGAAATAACAATTACAATATTTTAAATGACTACTGTGTGTAAAATCTTTTTTAAATTTAACAATTTCTAAAAATTGATTGTAATAATTAATTAATAGGTAATTAGATAATTGATAATTAATTAATTACCTAATTGTAAAATAAAAGTTGTGTAATTCTTCCAAAATTAAATAATTTTTTTGATGATGTTTTTAATTAAAATTATTCAAAACTTTAATAATTTTTTAAGAAAAAAATAAATTTATATATATTTTTTTTTAAAAATTAAATATTTCTCAAAATTGAATTCTTATAAAAGATTTTTATCAAAATTTCTTAAAATAATTATTTTAAATTATTATTTTTAAATAATTTTTATTATTAAATAATTATTATTATTAAATAATAATTATTATTAAATAATTATTATTATTAAACAATTATTATTATTAAATAATTATTATTATTAAATAATTATTAAAATTCTTTGAAAGAGTTCAATTACTCTTTCAAAGAATTTTAATAATATTTTTTAAAAAAATTGTTTTTTTAAGGTATTTATTTAAAATTGTATAAAAAACTAATTGAAAATATGTGACTTTGTCCGGAAAATTTTCATAAAATTGTATTTTAAGTCATTGAATTCCTGTAAAAATTTTAGTATCTATGAAAATAATTAAATTTCTTCAAAGAAGTTTATTCAAAATTTTATTTAAAATAATTAAATTTATCAAAAGTATTTTATTATTTATAAAAATAATTAAATTCCAGGGCAGAATTTTATAATTTACTTGAATAATTGAATTCTGACAAATTTTTTTCGACAAATTTAATTAAAATTTTATTAAAAATAATTCAATTTTTATGTATAGAATTTTAATAAAATTTATAAAAATAATTGAATTTCTGCGAAGAATTGCATTAAAATTTTCAAATAATAATTGAATTCGCAATAAGAATTTTACTAAAATTCTTATAAATAATTGATTTCTTTTTGAAAAACTTAAATGAAAATTGTATTTTAAATAATTGAATTCCTGTAAAAATTATAGTATTTATGAAAATAATTAAATTTCTTCAAAGAAGTTTATTCAAAATAATTGAATTTATCCAAAGTATTTTATTATTTATGAAAATAATTGAATTCCATGGAGGAATTTTATAATTTACTTGAATAATTAAATTCTTACAAATTTTTTTCGACAAATTCAATTAAAATTTTATTGAAAAAAATTCAATTCCTATGTGTAGAATTTTAATAAAATTTATAAAAATAATTGAATTTCTGCGAAGAATTGCATTAAAATTTTCAAATAATAATTGAATTCCCGAGAAGAATTTTATACAAATTTTTTAAATAATTGATTTTTTTTTTTGAAAAAGTTGAATGAAAATTGTATTTTAAATGATTGTATTCCTGTAAAAATTTTATTATTTATGAAAATAATTGAATTCCAGGGAAGAATTTTATTATTTATGAAAATAATTGAATTCCAGGGAAGAATTTTATTATTTATGAAAATAATTAAATTCCAGGGAAGAATTTTATTTTTTACTTGAATAATTGAATTCCTACAAATTTTTTTAACGTTCTGTCTGACTAAAAATGGTTTTTCCTACTGATTTGACAACCAGATGATTTTTTAAAACTTATGTCTGACTATAATTGATTGTTACTACTAACTATATTGCTATTAGTAATTTTTAAATTACTAGTTAATGTCAATTTCAGTCTGGCAAACACTATTTGATAAATTTATAAATCAGTAGTTAAAATTAAGTTTTAGTCGGACAAACTTTTCCTGAATTTTTTTTTAGTTTTTAAATCAGTAGCATAAATTATTTTTAATCAGACATAAGTTTCAAAAAAATACTTTAGTTTTTAAATTAATAGTAGTGAAAAATTGTGAATAATTAAAATAAATTGCTGTTTATATCAAAATAAAATAATTTTCAAAAAATTAAATTAAAAAAATCATATTCTAACTTCAAAATTATAAGTCTTTAATAATAAATAAATTTTTTTCTCTATAATTATTATTATTATTATGAGTATAATTTTCTTTAATTCTCACAGGCTATTCCGCAAATACACTGAGAACGGAAAATTTATACGCGACAAGTACACTTATGGTGCCAAAGCCAATTAAATCTGCAATGGAGGAAAAAAATCCATCGCCCGGTGTATGCCTGCCAGTTATCGTTAACTTCTGCCAATATCACAAGGTAAGATAAAAAAAAATTAAACTTTCTCCAACACTTCTATATATATACTTCTTTATATCGAGATTAAAAAGAAATTTCTTGGAACAAATTTCTATATATAAAAAAAACAGAAAAAAAATATTCTGGCATCAAAACGTGGTTGAATATTATTACAATATAAATCAATATACTTTTCAAGAATTTTTTTTTCCTTTTTCTTTTGATCAAGTCTGTATATATAAGAGGGAAATATAGTTTTTCATAAATTTGAGAAACTTAATTTCATCTTATCTAATGTCGCAGAAAATGACATTTTGCAACTCTCTCTCTCTCACTCTGTACCTATACGTTCATCGATCCACAGTCCCCACTAAAATTCCTAAAATGAGGTCATTATGAAAAGAGAATTTCATTTTCTGGAAAAAAAAATTCTTGGTATATACACTACTTAAAAAGTTATTCTGTTGAAGGGAACATTATGAACGCTTCTTTAGTAATTAAAAAGCAAGTTCTCGATGTAATGAAAAATTTTATAATTGAAATAAACTTTTTTTCTGTATATTAAATAAAATTTTCACTGGAAAAACTTTGTTTTCGGTTCTAAAATCTATTTTCATTTCGAATCTAAAATTATATTTATTAGTAATTTGAATCAGTGATAGACATTTTGCTTTTGAATTAGTATATTTCACTAATAGATAGTAATTTCTACTAATTTGTTTATTAAAATTTAATAATTTTAAATTTTACTAACAAATAGTAATTTCTACTTTAATTTTTTCCCTTATTTGAAAAGTAGAGTCCCAATTTCGGTCTTAACTTTTTGATATTAAAAAAAAAATCATTAAAAATTGTAATCTTTTTTCTAATTGTGAATTTTAAGACTATTCTTTTCTATATAGTAATTTTTTATTTAAAAAAGACTTTGACAAATAAATCAACATTTTTTATTTATCTCCGCAGTTTTACTCATTTTCCTTTCTTCCTTCTTTTATTTTTTTGAAAAAATAGGAAAAAGTGAATGTATGCGTAACATGTTTAAATAAGGACTTTTAAAAACGTGTAAAAGCCTTTTTCACCGCAGAGGAAAAAAAATTCAAATAGAATAACATTTTACGTTCTGTGGAAAAAATTTTCCAACAAATTATTTTCTTTCTATTTTTTAAAATTTGATTTTAGGAATTATATTCTCTTAAGTATTTATATATATATTTTCTTTGTCTAAAAATATAAATAAATAAATGCCAAATAATATTAATTATGATGATGATCATTATCAAAATTAATTCAATTTTAAAAGAGTTGCGTTTACAATTTTCATAAATCCTTATTCCTTATTCTTTCTCTTGAAAAAAAAATTTTTTTTAACCAAAAACATGAGTATTAACATGTATTTCTTTATTACTGTAAAATTATTTACAAAAAATGTAGTTTAGAACAATAATTATTTTTTAAAATTAAAAATTATTTTTTAAAAGAAATTTATTTATAAAAAGTTTACAATAATTATTTTCAATTTCACTAAAAACTAGCAGCAATTTGCGAGCGGCTGACTTATCACTCACTTTTTTAATTAAAATTATCAATTTTAAAAATAATGGAACGTAAAAATTTTTAATTCAAATTGTTTTTTTTTTAATTTTTTTTTGACTCCTAAACTATAAAATTACCACGAATTTAAAACAAAGCCTTCGATTTTTTCAATTTCTGACAAAAATTTCATTTTTAAATAATTTTAATCTTGAACAACTATCATAAAATAAAAAAATTATTTAATGAATAATTTTACTTAAATCTTTCAAAATTAATTCAATTTTAAAAGAGTTGCGTTTACAATTATCATAAATAAATTAACTTCAAAATAATAATAATTAAATATTTAAAATATTAAAAAAAAATTATTGTTTTCGAATAATTTTACAATGAAAAATATTCGTTAATAAATTTAACAAAACATTTCTTTTAATAAAAATTTTTTCCTCTATTTTCTAAAAATTCAAAAATTTTTATTTTTATTTTCAATTAAATTTTCTAATTTACAAATATAATTTATAAACATTTTCTTTCTTTCTTTTTTTTTTTTTAAACTTTGAATTTTATTAAAACAATTGAAATTAAGAAATAGAGTTGATGCAAATTATTTTTTTATGAAAATTGAGAATTTTCTAGAAAAATATTAAGAAACGAGAATATCTAATGTTTTTTTTCACAAAAGAAAATATATATAGTTAATTAAAATAATAATTATTAATTAATTAATTAATTAATAATAATAATACTTATTTATGAAATATTAAATTGACCAGATTCCGTACAATTTCACCATGTACCCGAATTTCATGGGTAATTTTGGTCAACGCGAGGCTCAACATGAATTAGAACATTACGATGCGGTTGTCGACGTAAGATGTTACGAATTAGCAGCCCTGTTTCTCTGCACTGTTTTTGTACCAAAATGCGGTCCTGGTGGTAATTTAATACGACCCTGTCGAAGTCTTTGCTATCGTAAGTAATAAAATGCCAAAAATAATCTCATAATAAATTGAGGCAATTAATTTTCATTCAGCAATAATTAATTAGTCGAATTATTTAAAAATTTCAAATTTATCAACCTTAATTAAAATTCCCTAAATTAATAGGTTACAATTAAACAAATAATTTTTATAATAAAAATATACTCGTTGTCATAAACAAATAATTTTTATTAATAAAGTTATAATTATAATTGTCCAATTATTTTCCATAAAATTATAATTTAAATTAATCGTTTAATTAATTAATCAATAAATAGTAAACAATTTCTTTTCGAGTTTCTTACCAAATTTTCAAATTTGATATTAAAAGGAAAATTGTTGAATTAAAACAAAAAAAAAATACTTTTCCTTGGCCAATCACTTTTTTTTGACAATTTAACTATTTTTTTGCCAATCACTGTATTTTTTCCAGAGACAAAAAGACGCTGTGGCTTTTTTTTGAAAGTTTTCGGACTCACCCTACCGGATTACATGGAATGCGATTTGTTTCCGGATTCGAATGTGTGCGTGGGATATAACGAGGTTCTGGAAGCGGAGAAAAGAGCAGAGAGACCTGGTGAGTAAAAACAATTCAACACAATCAAGTTTGTGATAATAATAATTTTTTATTGCATGATATCGTTTTGTTATATAATAGAAAACAAAAAATAGAAATGAAGAAGGGAAAAAAATTCTCGCACAAGAAACAAGAATGAGAGGACAAGGTTTCTTATTACCCCTACTGGTTCTAAATTTTAATCTAAAATTCAAGTGTCACATTAATCTTCTCATATAACCGTCTTCAACTTACTATATAACGTTCCCCAAAGGGTTTTGAAAATTGAAAAACGAGAGACGCAATTTATTCGTCTGTGATTTTTTTTTATCTTCAGAGTAAAAATTAATTTAGAAAAATAAAAAAATTTGTTTAACATCTCGATAAAGAAGAAAATTTTCCATAGACGTTTTATTTCAGTTTTCTTTTATGTTGTCATGTTCTTTTGGAATTTAGAATAATTTACAAAATTTCCACTTTAAAAAAATTTAAAACGTTAAAAAAAACAAAATAATTTTTTTCAATTTGAATATTTTTTAAATTTCTGACACTAAAAGCTACTTTTTTTCTTTTTTTGAAAATTTGCAGTAATTTACATCTGCTAATAGTTGAAATAAAAAAATTATTCTTAAAAATTTTCATAAAATTCTTTGAAACAATTCAATTATTTTCAAACTTTTTTGGAAAATTTTTTGCAAGAATTATATTATTTTCACAAAATAATAAAATTCTTCGCTGCATTTCAAATATTCTTAAAATCTACCTTTTTATTAAAATTTCTCAAAAGAATTCAATTATTATTTAAAAAAAATTAATTAAATTTTTCCCAAAAATTCAATTATTTCCAAAGATTTCAAAAAAATCCTTTGCAACAATAATTCAATTATTTTTCTCAAGATTTCAACTATTTTTAATACTATTTTAAATAAGTTCTTCGAAATAATTGAATTATTTTCAAAAATTTTATTAAAATTCTTCGAAAGAATTCAATTATTTTGATAAATTTTAATAAAATTGTTGGTAAAATTTCAATTATATTAAAAAAATTTCTACAATTCAATGATTTTCAATATATACTGTTTTAATAAAATTTTCAAAAAGAATTCAATTATTTTAACAAAATTTTTTATAAAATTCTATACGCAAACATTTAATTATTTTCATAAATAATAAAAATTTCATAGAAATTCAATTATTTACAAATTTTTTAATAAATTTCTTTGTAATAATTCAATTATTTTCATAAATAATAAAACTCATCAAAGAATTTCAATTATTTTTAATACAATTTTTATTAAATTATTCAAAATAATTGAAATATTCTTTTAAATTTTCATAAAATGATTAAAAAAAATTCTATTACTTACAAAAATTTTAATAAAATCCTTCGCAAGAATTCAATTATTTTCATGAATAATAATCATCTTCACAGGATTTCAATTATTTTAAATATAATTTTATATAAATTTATCGAAAAATGTAATAATGTATTTTCCAAAATTTTGTTAAAATTTTTCGAAAGAAATCAATTATTTTCAAAAATTTTGATAAAATTCTATACAATGTATTCAATTTTAAGCAATAATCTATTATTCAATAATTTATTTATTTTTGTATTTTAATAATTGAATTCTCGTAAAACTTTCTAAAAAGAATTGATTTAAAATTAAATTCTTGTAGAACTTTTTAATAAAAATTGATTTAAAAATGAATTTCACTTATAATTTTAGATTATAATTAAATATTAAAAGCGTTATAGCGTGATTTTTTATAGAAATAGATAAATTTCAAAAAGTTTTTACATTAAAGTTATTAAAAATTTTAATTTCTGTGGAATAATAAATAAGTTTTTATACATTTAATAAACAAAAATTATTCATGAATAATTTAGTTTAGAAATGATGAAAAAAAAATTAGTCTTTTGAAAAATGTTTTTGAATATATATGTAGTTAAATTCTTGTAAAAAAATTAAAATTATTTATTTACACTAGCCAAACTATCCGCGCGCAAGCGCGCGGGAATGTTGTATGGGGCTGCTTATTTTAAACAATTTAAAAAATTTTAAAGAAATAATTATTATAACCTAACAAAGAGATTTAACTAAATAAAATTCAAATAATTTCACTCAATGGTCTCAATTTAAATAGAATTTACATTACTAGACTTAAACTATGGCTAGAACAATTACAATTAGTATCTGGGTCATCTTTTGCATTGCTTATTTTATAAAGCCATTTTAAATTAAATACTTTTTAAAGAAATAATAATTATTACACACTGAAAAAAGTTTTACTTGAAATAGCGATAAGTTTCTCTAGAATAACGAAAGTATTAATTGAAGCACTAAAAAGTTTCGCTAATAATAAAGCTAAATGGCATAAAAGAGAAGAAAAAATGTTGAATTTTAAGAAATTCGATTTTTCGGATTTTTGATAATTTTCAATAATTTTTGATTTTTTACCAAAGAGTCAAGACTGTTAAATAAGTAAAGTATTTTCCAAAAGCACAAAAATAATAAAGCTAAATCCCATAAAAGAGAGGAAAAAATGTTGAATTTTAAGAAAAACGGATTTTTGAAATTTTTCGAATTTTTGATAATTTTAGATTTTTTACCAAAGAGTCGAGACAATTTAATAAGTAAAGTATTTCCCAAAAGCACAAAAATAATGAAGCTAAATCCCATAAAAGAGAGAAAAAATGTTGAATTTTAAGAAAAACGGATTTTTGAATTTTTTCGAATTTTTGATAATTTTAGATTTTTTACTAAAGAGTCGAGACAATTTAATAAGTAAAGTATTTTCCAAAAGCACAAAAATAATTAAGCTAAATCCCATAAAAGAGAGGAAAAAATGTTGAATTTTAAGAAAAACAGATTTTTGAATTTTTTCGAATTTTTGATAATTTTAGATTTTTTACCAAAGAGTCGAGACAATTTAATAAGTAAAGTATTTTCCAAAAGCACAAAAATAATGAAGCTAAATCCCATAAAAGAGAGGAAAAAATGTTGAATTTTAAGAAAAACGGATTTTTGAATTTTTTCGAATTTTTGATAATTTTAGATTTTTTACTAAAGAGTCGAGACAATTTAATAAGTAAAGTATTTCCCAAAAGCACAAAAATAATGAAGCTAAATCCCATAAAAGAGAGGAAAAAATGTTGAATTTTAAGTAAAACAGATTTTTGAATTTTTTCGAATTTTTGATAATTTTAGATTTTTTACCAAAGAGTCGAGACAATTTAATAAGTAAAGTATTTCCCAAAAGCACAAAAATAATAAAGCGAAATCCCATAAAAGAGAGGAAAAAATGTTGAATTTTAAGAAAAACGGATTTTTGAATTTTTTCGAATTTTTGATAATTTTAGATTTTTTACTAAAGAGTCGAGACAATTTAATAAGTAAAGTATTTCCCAAAAGCACAAAAATAATGAAGCTAAATCCCATAAAAGAGAGGAAAAAATGTTGAATTTTAAGAAAAACGGATTTTTGAATTTTTTCGAATTTTTGATAATTTTAGATTTTTTACTAAAGAGTCGAGACAATTTAATAAGTAAAGTATTTCCCAAAAGCACAAAAATAATGAAGCTAAATCCCATAAAAGAGAGGAAAAAATGTTGAATTTTAAGAAAAACGGATTTTTGAATTTTTTCGAATTTTTGATAATTTTAGATTTTTTACTAAAGAGTCGAGACAATTTAATAAGTAAAGTATTTCCTAAAAGCACAAAAATAATGAAGCTAAATCCCATAAAAGAGAGGAAAAAATGTTGAATTTTAAGAAAAACAGATTTTTGAATTTTTTCGAATTTTTGATAATTTTAGATTTTTTACCAAAGAGTCGAGACAATTTAATAAGTAAAGTATTTCCCAAAAGCACAAAAATAATGAAGCTAAATCCCATAAAAGAGAGGAAAAAATGTTGAATTTTAAGAAAAACGGATTTTTGAATTTTTTAGAATTTTTGATAATTTTAGATTTTTTACTAAAGAGTCGAGACAATTTAATAAGTAAAGTATTTCCCAAAAGCACAAAAATAATGAAGCTAAATCCCATAAAAGAGAGGAAAAAATGTTAAATTTTAAGAAAAACGGATTTTTGAATTTTTTCGAATTTTTGATAATTTTAGATTTTTTACTAAAGAGTCGAGACAATTTAATAAGTAAAGTATTTCCCAAAAGCACAAAAATAATGAAGCTAAATCCCATAAAAGAGAGGAAAAAATGTTGAATTTTAAGAAAAACGGATTTTTGAATTTTTGATAATTTTAGATTTTTTACCAAAGAGTCGAGTTAATTTAATAAGTAAAGTATTTTCCAAAAGCACAAAAATAATGAAGCTAAATCCCATAAAAGAGAGGAAAAAATGTTGAATTTTAAGATAAACGGATTTTTGAATTTTTTCGAATTTTTGATAATTTTAGATTTTTTACCAAAGAGTCGAGACAATTTAATAAGTAAAGTATTTCCCAAAAGCACAAAAATAATGAAGCTAAATCCCATAAAAGAGAGGAAAAAATGTTGAATTTTAAGAAATTCGGAATTTTGAATTTTTGATAATTTTCGATAATTTTAGATTTTTTACCAAAGAGTCGAGACAATTTAATAAGTAAAGTATTTTCCAAAAGCACAAAAATAATGAAGCTAAATCCCATAAAAGAGAGGAAAAAATGTTGAATTTTAAGAAAAACGGATTTTTGAATTTTTTCGAATTTTTGATAATTTTAGATTTTTTACTAAAGAGTCGAGACAATTTAATAAGTAAAGTATTTCCCAAAAGCACAAAAATAATGAAGCTAAATCCCATAAAAGAGAGGAAAAAATGTTGAATTTTAAGAAAAACAGATTTTTGAATTTTTTCGAATTTTTGATAATTTTAGATTTTTTACTAAAGAGTCGAGACTATTAAATAAGTAAAGTTTTTCCCAAAAGCACAAAAATAATGAAGCTAAATCCCATAAAAGAGAGGAAAAAATGTTGAATTTTAAGAAAAACGGATTTTTGAATTTTTTCGAATTTTTGATTTT